ACAAATTCGTACAGCCTCAAATGTTGTATTAAGGTTGATGCTAATGTAGAGATGTACATATCCCGGTTAGTTACTGAACTTTAAGGCACCCATAGAAAAGGTGGTGGGACTTAAAGAAAAATCGGGGCAGTGTTGTCCTCGTAGGGACTTGTGCCTACACAGAGAAGCTGGGAAATGTAATATTTTTAGCGGGGCACATTCTTCCTCAAACAAAATTGGGGTTCCGTTAGGAGAGAGCATGCACTGGATACTGGTTGCCATTCAGTAGAAGGAGGCAGTGAAAGGCGAGGACTAGAGATGGGAGGAAGAGGCCGTGGGAGAGGGAGGCAGGCACCCGGGGAGCACGCTCATGGTCAGAGTATGGAGTTGTGGGGAACCTGCCCGCTTCCTGAGGGAAGGGGGCTTCCTTCTGTCGTCAATCCCTCCGCTTCAGCGGTGACAGAGCCGCGCTTTCCTGGAGGAGGAGTCAGCCAGGGCTTCCCGCCCCGCCCCTGACCTTCCCATGCTTCTCTTCCAGGGAGACCACTGTAACTTCAGCCACGACATCGAGCTACCAAAGAAGCGAGAGCTGTGCAAGTTCTACATCACCGGGTTTTGTGCCAAAGCCGAGAACTGCCCCTACATGCATGATATCCTTTGGTGCCCACGTCTGCTCTGGTTCAGGGGCAGAGCTCTCCTTGTTGGTAGTAGCGGCCGCCCTCCACTGCGCTCCCTCCCACCTGCCAGCGCAGGGCCGAGCTTTCCGTGCATCTGCCTCTCATTGACCCTCACATCTGCCCTATGACGGGCCTGCTGTTCCCGTTCTGCAGATGAGGAAACTGAGGCACACGTTAATATGGTCTCTCTACATATACTCCTGGGACTCGCCTGTGCCATTGCCTGTTATCTTTCTGAGACTTTCTAACTGGCTGTGTCACCCTGGGCACATCATTGAACTTCCCTATTTCCGTTGAGTGAGGATTTGAGGACAGCCCCAAGGCCAGCGTGGTGGGGTGGGAAGCACGCTGGAGCATGAGTCTTGAGAACTGGGGTCTCATCTCGGGTCTGCCGCCAACCCACTGCACAGCCCTGAGAAAGTCACTTCACCTCCCTGGGCTCCGGTTTCCTCATCTCCAAAACACGGGGTGGGATTCTGCCCTCAGGAATGGGTGCATGTGTGTGTTCCATGAGATGAAGCGTTTGCCTTAATTTGCCATGAACGTGATTTTCCGTGTAAGTTATACCACACGACTGGGAACTGCATCAATGGTGACGACTGCATGTTTTCCCACGACCCTCTGACCGAGGAGACGAGAGAGCTCTTGGATAAGGTACGTCTGGGGGGTCGGCACCACAGCTGCCAGGAGCCAGGACCCGTGCCTTCCATTGACATGGCTCTGCAGCCCGCCCGCTGGCCCTGTGCGGGACCATCGTTTCCAGTGGCATTGAGCTGGGGCTGGGCCATTTCAGGGAAGACATGGGGCTGTGCTCTTGCCTGCAGAGAGGAGGTCACGCATGCGTCTTATCTGCAGCCAGGGCCGTTTGCATGGGAGTGGCTGCGTGAAAGCAGTGTTGCCTAGGGTGTCTCCAAACATATTCTGTGATTTCTTTCCTATCCTTTAGAGAGAGTCCATGGTACACAAAGAGGAGAGATGTGATGGCTTTTATTTTTATGGAAATGTCAAATGTTTACTTAAAATTTTTAAAGATTCTGCCGAAACCGGTTTGGCTCAGTGGATAGAGCGTCAGTCTGCGGACTGAAGGGTCCCAGGTTCGATTCCGGTCAAGGGCATGTATACCTTGGTTGCCGGCATCTCCGGTAGGGGGTGTGCAGGAGGCAGCTGGTCGATGTTTCTCTCTCATCGATGTCTCTAGATCTCTATCCCTTTCTTCCTTCCTCTCTGTAAAAAAAAAAAAAAAAAAAAAAAATCAATAAAGATTCTATTAAGCAGTAAAACATTAAAAACTACAGGGAAACTGGAGGTTTGTGCTTGTTGGAGAGTTCCTCCCTCGGTGCGGTGTCAGGGCTTTTTGAGTTGTCAGGTGACTTTTGAAACTCATCCTCGTCTCTTCTTGTCCCCTAGGAAGAGCCATTAGGACTTGGGGAGTTCCAAGGTCCTGTCCTTAGCTTCCTCATCCATCCGAGGGATGAGCAAGAGAGTGTAGCCCTGCCCTCTGGTTCTCAGATGGTTGAGGAGCTGGCTCTTTGTGTAAGAATGGAGAGGATCGTGTTTATCAGCCATCCTTGGGCGACTGCCCAGTTTGAATGGCTGCTGGCACCGCCTGAGGAGTTGAGGGGAAGCCGGGCACAAGCGAAGCTAGAGAAGGCCGCTCCTCATTGGCAGAGGGGTGGGAAAATTGGAGAGCGGCTTTATTTGGCCAGGCCCTTTGTGGAGGACTAGGATTTTATCATCTAGATATCTAGAGTCTGAGTTTTTCACAGGGTAAGCAGTGGGAAGTCATGGTGACTGCATTCCTCATTTGAAGACTGGAACAATATCTGACTGAGGACTGCCCCCTGCCGGAGGTTCAGAGTTGGTGTTATGGACCAGTGCTGTGCAATAGAAAACAAGCCAGAGCCACATGTTTAATTTTCCCTTTTTTAAATTATCTACCTACTAGTGCTGCAGCAGTTTTAATATGAAGGTTTTACTGATAATTGCACAATTTGTATGATGTGAGCAGAAAAATATCAAGAATGGCTATAAATTGGCCAGTCTTGCAAATGATAGGCTACACATTTTTGTTGCTAAGCCTTACCCAAGGATATTTTTTCCATTGATTTTTAGAGAGAATAGAAGGGAGGGAGGGACAGCAGGGGAGATGGGCAAAGAAACATTAATGTGAGAGAGCCATGACCCCACACATGGCCCGGTCAGGGCCAGAATCGAACTCTACAACCCAGGTATGTGCCCCTGACCCAGAATTGAACCCTCAACCCTTTGGTGTGAGGGGTGACGCTCTAACCAGAGAGCCACACCCACCAGGGTCAAACTACACATACTTAATTTTAAATTTTCTAGTAGCCATATTGAGTAAAAAGAAACACATGAATTTCATTTTTACAACATTATCTTAGCTCAAGGTATCCAGGTTCAGACTAATCATTTTGGCAAATAATAAGTGATGGGAAAAGGTGAGATTTTGGGGAGACTACTATGTCTTCAGAACCTGGTACTTATGGCCACGTTTCAAGTACTCAATAGTACACAAGGCCAGTGACCACCGTATTGGACAGCAAAGCTCTGGACGCCCTCGTAAAAAAACACACAAAAAAACAAGAAGATGAGGTGTCCCTTTAAGCTCCTGCCCACAAACATTTTTTTAAAATATATTTTTATTGATTTTGTACAGAGAGGAAGGGAGAGAGATAGAGAGCTAGAAACATCGATGAGAGAGAAACATCGACCAGCTGCCTCCTCCACACCCCTTACTGGGGATGTGCCCGAAACCAAGGTACATGCCCCTGACCAGAATTGAACCCGGGACCTTTCAGTCCACAGACTGACGATCTACCGCTGAGCCAAACCGGTTTCGGCAGCCCACAAACATTTTTAAAACATTGATGTCAACCCCTATATAAGGTTAAGTCTCAGTGGGTTAAAAATGAGTGTAGAGCCTAGAGAAACCATCCTAGAATCGAATTTGTGTGGTCAGGAAGTAAAACTTGCATTATGCCTTGGGATGGGCCTAGACTGACCCTGCTATTTCCTTCCTGCCAGACTGGGTTGCAGCTGGTTCACCAGGGCTGGGCCTGTGGTCCAAGCTAAGCTGTCTCTCCTGAACGGCACTTAGCCACCTTATCCTGAAATTGTCCTGCCTTATTTTCCCACTTCTCTAGCTGGTGAGACATTCCCTCAAAGCCAGACTTGGAAATAGTGTGTGTTTCATATAGGCCCTCTGCGGGCCCTGGGCCCTCAGGGCAGAGCACAGTGCCGCCTTCATGGAGCTGGCGGTCTGTAGAGCCAGGATATAATAAAAGGATATAATAAAACGTGATTTTACAGAGCTCGGGATCTAATGCTGTCCCGTAGTGAATGCAGAGACCTGGACAGTCACCCTTTGACCTTTAATGAGACCATCCATGGGGGCATGGGTCCACCCGGGCACAGAGGAAACAAATGCCTGGGAGGAGCCCGGCCTGCAGGGCAGAGCTTGGCTGCCAGCAGACTGCCACGGGGCTGGGCGCTGGGGTTGAGTCGGGGGCACCAAGGAAGGAAATGAAGCTGCCTCCCCAGCACCCAGTCTTGCCACCAGGCCCCATGGGAGTTTGATGGCAGCTGCAGTGAGAGGCTTTTAAAGCCAGGTAGGATGGTGGCCGCTCAGCCAGTCACAGCACATGACTCACGCTGCACATGGAACTGAAAATGTCATGCTGAGTGGAAGCCAGTCACAGAAGACCCATATTATGGGATTCCGTTTCTGTAAAATGTCCAGAATCAGGAACTCTCTAGAGATAGCAGATTAGTGGCTGCCATGGGCTATGGAAATGGTTGGCAAACTGTGGCTCTCGAGCCATATGCGGCTCTTTGGCCCCTTGAGTGTGGCTCTTCCACAACATACCACAGCCTGGGCGAGTCTCTTTTGAAGAAGTGGCATTAGAAGAAGTTTAAGTTTAAAAAATTTGGCTCTCAAAAGAAATTTCAATCGTTGACCTGTTGATGTTTGGCTCTGTTGACAGATGAGTTTGCCGACCACTGGGCTAGGGGGAGGGGAAATGGGAAGTGATTGCTTATGGGTAAGGGGCTTCTTTTGGATGATGGAAAGTTCTAGAACTAGACAGGTGATGGATGGATAACTTCATGAAGGTACTTAATGCCACTGAAATGTACGCTTTAAAATGGTGAAATCGTAGGTTTTATGCCACTGTAATTTGCTGCAGGACAGGAGTGGCTCTCCTGCCCACTGGTCAGGTTTTTGTGCCAGAGGCTTCGTGGTGGTTGGCCATATGCTGGAGGGGTCCCTGGCACCCGACTCCTGTCCTGTCCTGACTGCACGCCCTTTTGTCCTCCCGCCCGCAGATGTTGGCGGACGACGCGGAAGCAGGCGCCGAGGACGAGAAGGAAGTCGAGGAACTGAAGAAGCAGGGCATCAACCCCCTGCCCAAACCGCCCCCCGGGGTGGGCCTCCTGCCCACCCCGCCTCGGCCCCCTGGCCCCCCTGCCCCGACCTCTCCCAACGGCAGGCCCATGCCGGGCGGCCCCCCGCCCCCGCCCCCGCCCCCGCCTCCGCCCCCCGGGCCCCCGCAGATGCCCATGCCGGTGCATGAGCCGCTGTCCCCGCAGCAGCTGCAGCAGCAGCAGGACATGTACAACAAGAAGATCCCCTCCTTGTTTGAGATCGTGGTGCGGCCCACGGGACAGCTGGCCGAGAAGCTGGGTGTGAGGTGAGTGCGGGACCCGTCACTGTGAGCCTGGTCAGGCAGCTGCCACCAGCCTCTGACCTCCTGGACTAGCGGTGGTCGATGACCGCTGGCCTAGAGCCATTCACTGCTCACCATGTGGAGGCTCCACAGCTCCTCAGGGGTGTGACCCCCGCCACCCCTGCCCTTCAGCCCTCTCATAGGCACCGTTTCCTCCTTCTAGGTTCCCTGGACCCGGAGGACCCCCCGGGCCAATGGGCCCTGGGCCCAATATGGGACCCCCAGGGCCGATGGGGGGCCCAATGCACCCGGACATGCACCCCGACATGCACCCAGACATGCATCCTGACATGCACCCGGACATGCACCCGGACATGCCGATGGGCCCTGGCATGAACCCTGGCCCGCCCATGGGACCCGGTGGCCCCCCCATGATGCCTTACGGCCCTGGAGACTCCCCACATTCTGGAATGATGCCCCCCATCCCACCAGCCCAGAACTTCTATGAAAACTTCTACCAGCAGCAGGAAGGCATGGAGATGGAGCCGGGACTCATGGGGGACGCAGGTAGGCGGGGTGTGGGCCCAGAGGGGTGGCTGGGTTTATACAGGGAACATGGGAAGATTCGCGCGCTCCTCCCAGCCTTTGAAAGCATGAGTCCAACTCCATCTCTGTCCCCTGCGTGGCTGAATGTCTTTCGTGACAGAGTCACTGTCCTGTTGAGGCTGAAGGGAGTGTTATGGTTATTATCGCTGTAATTTAGCCTCGCAGATGTCTTGCTTGGTGTTCCTGGATCAGGAGCACGCGGTCAGGAGGGCAGGTGTGGCAGGCTGCTGGCTAAGAGACTGAAGTGGCCTCACCAGAGCAGCCTCCTTCCAGGCGGTTCTTGGCTTGGGACTGCCAGTGTCAGCCTTGTGGTTCTGCTTGCTCTGTCCCCACGTGTGACCATCCTCCTCCTCCTCTCCTTCCTTCCTATTAAAATAACAACATATAACAGCAGAGACAGCCACGTGGCCAGAGGAGGTAGTGTGAGGGCTTCAGCAGGAATGAGTGTGCTCACCAGTCTGTGCAGCGGCTCCCGCCCCGGGGTCAGAGCCAGCGAGACAGCCACGGTCCTGGCCTTAGCTTCATTGGGTGCAGGGAAACAGGCAGGAAACTTGTACATACTGATCATGGCTAGAAGTCACGGGGCTGGGGGAGAGTGGTGGTCAGAGGTGGGCCAGGAGGGTCTGGACACGGTGAGGTCAGCGGGCAGAGGCCTCTCTGAGGAGTGACGGGAGTGAGCTGGGACAGGGAGGCGAGGCGGCAGCTATGGGGCGCACAGCCCACGCAGGAGGCACAGCCAGGGCAGAGGCCCCCACCGGTCTGCTCGCCTGAGAAAAGCCTAAGAGCGTGTGCTCTGGAAAGGAGAACAGGGAGAGCAGTAGGGACTTGTTGCCCTGGCGAGGTGACTCATTGGAAGAGTGACCGGAACAAGCAGAGGAGTGAGAGGGCAGCGGGTGGTAGGGTGGGCGTGGAACCCTCCTGGCAGAGGCGAGCCGGAGGCAGCAGGAGCAGCCGGGCGTGGCTTCTCAGTTTGGAGATGACGCCATGGGCCAGCGTGACCCCTCCCGTATGTGTTACAGGCGGACAGGAGGGGATGGGCGCCGGCCACGGGGCAGCCCCTGACTGGGCAGCCCTGCGGGAGAGCTGAGGTGGGGGCAGCGCTTCGGCTTTGTCCACGTTAGGGATGAGATAGATGCCCATTGTGGAGGCGGATCAGACAGGCAGGCCGGAGGTCCATGTGAGCGGCATTGGTGCCTAGATGGTGGGAAGCCGTGAGAGCAGGTGTCTGGGTGAGGAGCAGGGGCTTTAGAACGATGTGACAGGTTCTCAAGTGAGAAAAGCAGGTTGCTGAGGGGTGATGTCCCACAGCCCTCCCGCCTGTAAACATGCGAATGGAATGTGCAGGGCCGGAGGTCTGGGTGGAAGGAAAGCCAGGCTGCCACGCCAGTAACGCACAGAGGGGAATCGGCTGAGTGCCCACGGCAGGAAGGCGGACAGAGCGTGCTGTCGGTGGCTGCTCCGCACCGCGGGCCCTCCAGGGGCAGTGCGTGCCCAGCCTTCCCGTAGCTGAGGAGGGGCCCTAGGAGCTGAGCTCTCCTTCGTATCGAGTGGCCTCTGGTAAAACGGCTTTTGTTGTGTTTCGCTTAAAGTCAGAGCCTATCGGCAACGTTAAGTGAGTCCTTGCTGTATTCACAAGTGCACAACCATCTTTTAAAAAAGATATATTTTTACTGATTTCAGAGAGGAAGGAGGAGGGAGAGAGAGAGATAGAAACATCAATGATGAGAGGCGATCATTGTTCGGCTGCCTCCTGCACGCCCCCTTCCGGGGATCCAGCCCGGAACCCGGGCATGTGTCCTGACCAGGGATTGAACCATGACCTGGCTCATCTGTTGACCTGAGCCACGCCGGCCAGGCAGTGACACACTCTTAACGAAAAGGTCCGAGCGGGGCTGGGACTGCCGACCAGGGTGTGGCACAGATCAGGCCCATCAGGTTCGCATGTGACAGTTCAGTGGCCAGAGCTAGGTGACATTTCGCTTTCTGCACATGCATGGAATTACTTTGTATGTAAAGTTAAGTTACAATTTCACTGTTGCTCACTAGCCCTGTGAGGACAGTGGTGGGTGCACGGCACATTTCTCATTGCAAAATGTTCTGTGGCAGTGCTCACAGGACAGTGTCCATCTTTGAGAGGGACACATACACACACACATAGACACACACACACACACACATGCACATAGACACACGCACATAGACGCACACGCACGTGCACACATACATAGACAAACACACACACACACAGACACGTGCACACACAGCCCTCCATGCTGCGTCCCCTCCTCAGATGTAGCAGCAGCTCGTTCACGGGGTGCAGGAGCAGAGAGGAAGCAGCAGGAGCTTCTGGGTTGAGATGTGGCCTTAGCATCATATTATCTTTATATACCTACATGTTTTTATTGGTGAGAGTATTCTAGATGTCCCCCATTTCTCCTCCCTCTGTCCCCCTCCACCCAGCCCCTGTCCACCCCAAGGCCTTCACCCCACTATTGTGTGTGTCCACGAGCTAAGCATGTAGTATATATGTTCTTTGGTTAATCTCTCCTGCAACCCCCTTCCCCTTCCTTCTGAAATCCGTCGGTCTGTCCCATGCTTCCTGTCTCTGGACCTGTTTTGTTCATCGGTTTATATTGTTCATTAGATTCCACATGTAAGTGAGGTCATGTGCCATTTGTCTTTCTCTGATATGCTTACTTCACTCAGCATCATTTTGGTGTATTTCCCTTCTTTTCGAGCCTCATTCCCAGTTGTTAAGCTCAATGTGATAGTGTTCTTCTTTATTGATTATTACAAACAAACCCTAAAGTAAATAAAACCGGGCAGGGCGCGTGGAGTAAAAAGTGAAGAGACTCTTAGCCCCTGCCTCTGGAATCTCATTTTCAAGAGACTGCTTCCTGTCTTTCTAGAGCCTTCTCTTTGCATTTTGCAAACATTCGTATGACGCTCCGTCCTGTATTCACGTCGTGAGCGTTTGCCCTGTCACTGAGCCTCCCTGTGAGCCCGTTGGCCCCCTGGCTGCACGCCGGGCGGGCTTCCCCGTCCCGCTGTTGGCTCTCCGTGGGGACGTCCCGGGTGGCAGGAGGGCTGGCTGCACATCCTCGCCATCGCCATCGGGAGGGTCTCAGGCGAGGGCACGGGCGGGCTGGAGTTGACATCTCGAGGCCCTTCCCGACACGACCCCCCGGTTCTTCCCCGTCACAGAGGACTACGGGCACTACGAAGAGCTGCCGGGGGAGCCTGGGGAGCACCTCTTCCCCGAGCACCCTCTGGAGCCCGACAGCTTCTCTGAGGGAGGGCCCGCAGGCCGGCCGAAGCCGGGCGCCGGTGTCCCCGACTTCCTGCCCTCAGCCCAGAGGGCCCTGTACCTGAGGATCCAGCAGAAGCAGCAGGAGGAGGAAGAGAGAGCGAGGAGGCTGGCTGAGAGCAGCAAGCAGGACCGGGAGAATGAGGAAGGCATGTGTCCTCCCCAGGGGCAGGGCTTCCCTCAGGGCGCAGGCCCGGCGCGCAGGGAAAGATGGGGAGCACTGGATGGGGTCTTACACTGAAGGGAGCCTCTGGCCAAGGACCCAGGCCTCGGGCTGGGAACTCGGGCTGGGGCTGCTGCATGTCCCTCAGGAAAGTGGAAGTCAGAGACCTTGAGCCCATCAAGGAAGGAGGTGGTCTGGCCCCTAGAGGAGACAGTAGCTGACACGATCCCCTCACCCCCCACCCCCCACCCCCGTACAGAGGAGGCTGCGGGAAGATGCTTCCCACCCCACCCCTGTTCTCAGGAAGCCCGCAGACATAACCAGTAACGATCAGTCACACACGGCTGCCACGTCCCATGGGGCTGTGCCGGGAGCTGGTGGCACCCCCAGGGTGGAATGGGAGGGCAAACTGTGTTCAGAGCCTGAAGCCATGGTCACATGACAGGAGCCCGGGAGCAAGTGGGAGCAAGTGGGCACCGTGGGGTGAGGGGCTATGCCCTCTGGTGGCTCCAGTTTTATCTGTTAGGAGGTTGGACTTGGGCTAGTTTCCGGGTCTGCCCCCGGCCCCTCCTCTCAGCCTGCGGCTGCCCTTCCCAGGGACGCGGTGAACTTGGGGGCCTGAGGGAGGTGTCTGTGAGCCCCAGGCACAGGGGAGCTGAGTCAGGGGCCTGAGCCTGCCCGGGGGTGACGAGGTGGCGGCACCATAGGCTTGGAGCCTGAGCTCACTCTGGCTCTGCCCCCATCTCAGGGCACAGTTGGTGCCTCCCTTTTCTCATCTGTCAAATGGCCAAATAACACCACTTCCCGTGTTTGGTGAGAGCTAACAGACAGACAAAGCATTTAGCTCAGTGCTGGCACACGAGGCAAGATCAGAAATGTCAGCCCTTCGCCGGCCTGAGCTCTCTGGCTGTTGGTGGCAGGGGCGGGTGGTGAGGGGAGGAGAGGAGAGGAGAGGAGAGGAGAGGAGAGGAGAGGAGAGTAGGAGGCAGAGGGGTTCACCCAGCGGGCTGCCGGGGTCCGAGAGGGCGGATGGCGGCCACTCACTCCCTCCCCTCCTCTGCTCTTCCTCAGGTGACCCTGGAAACTGGTACTCGAGCGACGAGGACGAGGGTGGGAGCAGCGTCACCTCCATCCTTAAGACCCTGAGGCAGCAGACGTCCAGCCGACCGCAGGTCTCTGCCGGGGAGCTGAGCGGCGGCGGGCTGGGGGACCCCCGCCTCCAGAAGGGACACTCCACGGGAGGCCGGCTGGCCGACCCCCGCCTCAGCCGGGACCCCAGGCTCTCGCGCCACGCCGAGGCCTCCGGCGGGTCGGGCCCAGGCGACGCGGGGCCCTCCGACCCTCGGCTGGCTCGCTCCCTGCCCGGCCCGAAGCCCGAGGGCGGCCTCCATTCCAGCCCCGCAGGCCCCAGCGGCTCCAAGGGGCCCGGGCCGCCCCCCGCGGACGAGGAGGACGGGGAGCGGGCCCTGCGGGAGAAGGCCGCGAACATCCCCCTGGACCCCCTCCCCGGGCACCCGCTGCGGGACCCGCGGTCGCAGCTGCAGCAGTTCAGCCACATCAAGAAGGATGTGACCCTGAGCAAGCCGAGCTTCGCCCGCACCGTGCTGTGGAACCCCGAGGACCTGATCCCCCTGCCCATCCCCAAGCAGGAGGTGGTGCCCCCCGTTCCCGCCGCCCTGCAGTCCATGCCCGCCCTGGACCCCAGGCTGCATCGGGCCTCCACCGTGGGCCCCTCCAACCCCCGGCCGCGCTCAGGCCCCTCCACGGACCCCGGCTCGGCCGGCTCCAGCCTGCCCGACTTCGAGCTCCTCTCGCGCATCCTCAAGACTGTCAGCGCCACCGGCCCCTCCGCTGCCCCCGGCCCCGGCGACAAGCCCAGCGACCCCCGGGTTCGGAAGCCCCCCACTGACCCCCGGCTGCAGAAACCGGCAGACTCCGCTGCCTCCTCCCGGGCCGCCAAGCCTGGCCCTGCTGAAGCCCCCTCTCCGGCCGCCAGCCCCAGCGGGGAGTCCTCGCCCCCCGCCACCGCCCCCTACGACCCCCGCGTGCTGGCGGCCGGGGGGCTGGGCCAGGGCAGCGGGAGCGGGCAGAGCAGCGTGCTGAGCGGCATCAGCCTCTACGACCCCAGGACTCCCAGCGCCGGAGGGAAAGCCTCGGAGCCCGCTGCCGACGGGGCCGCCCAGCCCAAGGGCCCCGAGGGCAATGGCAAGAGCGCGGCTGCCAAGGCCAAGGAGCCCCCGTTCGTCCGAAAGTCCGCCCTGGAACAGCCCGAAGCGGGGAAGCCCGCTGCCGACGGGGCCGCCGCCACAGCCACGGACAGATACAACAGCTACAACCGGCCCCGGCCCAAGGCCGCCGCGCCCCCCGCCGCGGGCACCCCGCCACCAGAGGGCGCCCCGCCCCAGCCCGGTGTGCACAACCTGCCAGTGCCCACCCTCTTCGGGACCGTGAAGCAGGCGCCCAAGACGGGCTCCGGGAGCCCATTTGCTGGCAACAGCCCCGCCCGGGAGGGCGAGCAGGACGCGGGGTCCCTGAAAGATGTTTTCAAAGGCTTTGACCCCACCGCCTCCCCCTTCTGCCAGTAGTGTTAGGTCGGAGCGGAGCTGTCCCGACCCCACCCTTCCTAGGGCGATATTTAAGTGCAGCAGCCGGAGTTGGGAACTGGGAGGGAGGGGGGTCTGGGTATTCTTTCTTTACTTTTCCCCTCTTTTTCTTTTGCTCTCTTGCTCTTTCTCTCTCTTGCTCTTTCTCTCTCTTGCTCTTACTCCCCCCGCTTCCTCCCCCCCTTTTTTTTTTTTAAGCAATACTTCCTTTTTAAAACATATAAATTGTATATAACCATCTTCAGTTCTGGTCAGTGCTGCAGGGCTCCGGGCTCCCGCCAAGAAAACTCACTTGTGCACATGGACAGTTTGCAAGTCGCCAGCTGGTGCTCTGCCTGGCCAGCCCAACTTTCAGGGACTCCTTGGAGACTGGGGCTCCAGTAGGTTTTCTGGACACAGCTCGGCCCCTCCTCCTCTCCCTCTTGCAGGACAAAGCAGGCGCTGAGAAGGCCCTGAGCACCGCTCCCCGTGTTGCATGAGGAGGCGGGATGTAGCCAGGACCGAGGCGGGACCCGCTTAGGGGCCAGGGGGTGAAGATGGTCCAGGAAAGGAAGAGCCTGGGAGCCGCCCCGGATGCAACGGCCCGTTCCCACCGCATCGCCTCTGGAGTCGCACCCGGGCCCTCGCCCGCCTCAGCCCAGCGCTCGCCCTGAGCCCGCACTCGGGCCTGGAAGAAGCCGCCAGGGTGAGACGGCGGAGGCTGGGCTGTGGGGCAGGTCCCCGAGCTGCTCCGGGAGGCCGGCCGGCCGCAGGTGGCGTTTCCGTCAGTATTAGCTCCTCCCGCCCTGTCGGCCATGCCCTTCTCCCCTCGTGCCAGGGGCTGTCCTGCTCCCCAGAAGCCAGCGCCCCGGTGCTGGCCTGGCCTCGGGGGGCAGCTCAAGGATCCGTGGCATGGCCGCCCACCAGGCCCGAGGAGGAGGCCTGGCTGGTCCCGGGCAGTGTTTGTCTCCGCTCCCTGCGCCCCTCTTTGCGCCATATCTGTGGGGCCTGTGGTCTCGGCGTGTTCGGGTTTCTTCTAAGCGGAGGTGCACAAGCTCAGAGGCGTGTCAGGGTGCGGGGCCGGGCACTCCCCTGAAGGGCCTGTCCCCCTAAAGGGCCTGGGGGCCGGCTGGAGCAGCCATGGCGGGTGGGGGCTGCTCAGGACCCCGCCTGCAGGTGAGGGTGTGGGACCGGAGACCTGTGTCCTGCTCCTGATCCAGCTGAGCCGGGGAGGGAGCAGGCGGCTGCACCGGCTCCCATGGACCCAGCCTGGGGAAGTGCCTCGGGATCCCTCCACCTGTGTTCTCCCTCCCCTCATCCGCCCCTCGGCCACCTCGCTTCCGGTCTCCCTTGCTAATAATGAGGAACCCTGGTGCCCCAGCCGAGGCTCCCTCCCTGCACCCCAGGTGGGAGGCCAACGGCTGCGCTGCCACCACCTCCCCGGGAAGAAAATCGTTGGGTTTGGGGCCAGAAGCGAAGGCCGAGAGGCAGCCCACAGGCCAGTGCGCTGTGATCAGGTCGGTTTGGTTTGTCTTTGTCTTTTTGTTTTGCTTTTTTAAACATTAGTGAGATGTTTCTTCAGCTGCCCGTGTGGGCCTTGAGCAGAGGCTGCCGCGTGGCGTTTGTACAATAAGTAAGAATGCACAGTGTGGCTGTGGGGGTTTTCCCTCTCTGAGGGTTTTCTTTTGTAAACGCGAATTAAATAATTTTTTTAAACAAATTTGTGGATGAAATAGAAGCTGGAGCCCTCCTTGGATATTCAGCCTAAGAACCTCATGGGACTATGAATTTACCCAAAATTTTCATTTGCCATCAGGCCGAGCTTTTAAAAAAAAGAAAAAAAAAATTGTTCTCTAACCAGGATTGTAACAAAAGTGTAAATACTATTTCAGAAAGTTGATGGTGCAAATATGTATATAACGTACTGTATTTTTACAATGATCGTCGCATGCCTCTATTCCACCCCCTTTTTGTACTCTGTATCTGTCTTCCAGAAACCTGCCCTTTCTCCTGTGGTCTCTTAATCCAATAATTGTATTACTGCCATTAAAGGATGCAGTTATTTTAAAAAGTCTGCGGTCTCGTGTCCTGCTCCTGCCACGCTGTGCCGGGGTCTAACCAGGAGGGTGAGAGGCAGTCTCCTGTTTTCCGGTGCCGCCCAGGGTGACATCCGCGACGCCACCACCTGAGTGACTGCATCCACAGCTCCCTTGCTCTGCTTTGGACCAGTCAGTACACAGAGATACACGGTGCCCCACACAGGCCCGGCCCCGCCTGCACGCCACACCGCTCTGAGACAGCTGGGCTTGTAGCGGGGAGAAGGAACTGGAGCCCTAACTATAGACGGAACGGCTGTGTCCCCTCAGAAGCAATACACTGCAGCCTGGGCTCCGCGGTGATGGCATTAGGAGGTGATCCGATCAGGAGGCTGGGGCCCTCGTGGATGGAATTGGTGCCCTTCTAGAGACTCGCAGAGCTGTCTCGTCGTGTCCTTGGCCCCTCTGCCCTGTGAGGACACGGCTAGTTAGAGCCGCTGTGACCCAGGAAGTGGCTCCCAGGAAGCAGCCCAAAGCCGCTCAGATGCCACCTCATTAGCCCGGGCCTTACTGAGATGTTTCCGAGGGCTTCCTTCAGGCTTCCTTTGGCGCCTGTGTCCCAAGGGACCCTCAGTTTTCCAGGCTGCTGTACAAGCCAGACAAACTCAGTGGCTTAAAACACAATCTGTGGCCATTCGGGAGGTCACAAGGGTGATGTGGGTCTCACTGGACTAACAGACTGTTGCCGGGGCTGCGTTCCTCTCTGGGAGAACGGAGATTGTGTTTCCTGCGTTGCCAGCTCCTCGGGCCTCCTTCCTTCCCAGGCCAGGCCCTCTTCCTCCACCCTGAGCTCCGACCCTCGCCCTGGCACAGCTCTGCCCGCAGCCGGGCAAGGCTCTCTGCCTGTCTGGGCCCATGTGCTCAGAGAAGGTGATCATCCATCTGAAGACCCTCAGTCACACCTGCAAAGTCCCACTTGCCCTGGGAATTTCATATTCATGGGCTCTGGGAATGAGACTTGGGCACGTTTGAGGGGACTTTTTTTTTTTTCTCACCCTAGGATATTTTTTCCATTGATTTTTAGAGAGTGAAAGGGAAAAAGAGGGTTTGGGGGTAAATATGTCCATGTGAGAGAGACACACACTGATTGGTTGCCTCCAGCACGTGCCCCAACTAGGATGGGATTGGATCTGCAACCCAGGTACCCTTGACCAGGAACCAAACCCTAGACCTTTCGATGCACAGGTTGGCGCTCTAACCGTTGAGCAGCACTGGCCAGCGGCATTCTGCCCTTCATTTGGGATGCCCAAACATTTCTTCAGAAAGACTTCTCATTGCCTTTACCCTGATTACTCTTCTAAACAGGGTGGCTCCAGGTTTATGTCAGAAATTCAGAGGGCTGCTCTAACTGGTTTTGCTCAGTAGATAGAGCTTCGGCCTGCGGACTCAAGGGTCCCAGGTTCGACTCCTGTCAAGGGCATGTACCTTGGTTGCGGGCACTCCCCCAGTAGGGGTTGTGCGAGAGGCAGCTGGTCAATGTTTCTCTCTCATCGATGTTTCTAGCTCTCCCTCTCCCTCTCTCTCTGTAAAAAATCAATAAAAAATAAAAAAGAATGCCCACAGGTCAGGCAGATCCAGGTGGGCAGTACGGGCCGCGGGCCCCAGGTTCACCTGATTGGGGCCGTCTTTCCACACGGCCGGCCTTGGCGCTGGGGATGGCAATGTGGCTGGAGCGCCTGCCAGCTTCCCCTCCCCCAGGGACGTGCAGAAGCAGGAAGGGAACTCTCTTCCTCTATCTCGCTCTTTCCCCCCCCTTAATATGTTTTTTAATGTCTTTAATTATTTTTTTAATGATTAAGGTATTACATATGTGTCCTTATTCCCCCATTACCCCTCACCTCCCATTCATGACCCCACCCCCCTGTTGTCTGTGTCCATTGATTAGGCTTATAGGCATGCATATAAGTCCTTTGATTGATCTCTCCCTGACCCCCCCTACCTTCCCTGAGGTTTGACGTTCTGATGGATGTTTCTCTGTCTCTGGATCTATTTTTGTTCAGCAGTTTGTGTTGTTCATTATATTCCACGAGTGAGTGAGATCACGTGATGTCTATCTTTCTCCGCCTGGCTTATTTCACTTAGCACAAGGCTCTCCATCTCCATCCATGTTGTTGCAAATGGTAAGAGTTCCTTCTTTTTTACCTCGGTGTAGTATCCCATTGTGTGAATGTACCACAGTTTTTTAATCCATTCATCTGCTGATGGGCACTTAGGCTGTTTCCAAATCTTTTTTTTTTTTTTTTTTTTTTTTTTTTTTTTTTTTGATATTCAATGTATTTATTTCTTTTTTTTTTTTTTTTTTTTTTTTTTTTAAATCAATCTTTATTGTTCATATTATTACAAAGGTTCCTCATTTCTTCCCCCCTCCACCAGGTTCCCACCCCACCCTCCGTCCCCCCCCCATCCCCCATTGTCCTCATCCATAGGTGCAGTTTATGTTCAGTCTCTTCTTCCCTCAATTTCCCCAATAGTAAATCCCTTTTCAGATAGTAAATCAGTTACTTAGCATTTTCTCATATCAATAATACCTCCACATGCCCAATGATACACTTCACACAAAAGACATTTCCCACTAGGTCAACCAGCCTCATCCAGGCCCCACCCAAGGCACTCACAGATCAACACCCCAGTCCTAAACTAACTCAACACATCCAGATCTAAGCCTTCATCACTTGATTCAGCAGACCCTCAAGTTCCCACGAAAGTTTCCAGCCATGTCTGAGAAGCAGCCGTGGGGCAGGGGCAGGCAAGGAGCGAGCTGTTCTGGGCCTGGCTGCTCAGGGCTTGGCCTCTGTTGCTCTGGTTCATTCCACAACCAGCTGCTCCGGGTCTGGTCACTGCCGCTCCCGACCTAGTTGCGCTGGACTTGGCTGCTGCTGCTCCGGGCCTGGCCGCTCCCAGCCTGGC